AGAGAGAGAGAGAGAGAGAGAGAGAGAGAGAGAGAGAGAGAGAGAGAGAGAGAGAGAGAAACAGGCAGAGCAGACGTCATAAGACGCCATCGGTGACTGTTGCCCTACGCCGTGGCGGGGTCCACTTGTTGATATAACGGAACAATTGGTCTCCGATTTTCCTTGTACTATTCTAATTTGAATAGAATGTATGTGCGTATTATTCGAATAGAATGCGAGTGCGTACTATTTGAGCGTGCGTACTATTCGGATTTCCGGGGGCGACTTTCAGAAATCGACTTTTCCAGGGAAAGTTGCATAGTACATACGTGCGTTTGTTCGGGGGAAGACTGTAGGATGACACGCGTAAATAGAGAAATGGTCCAAATGTAGAAAAAAGAAAAGAAATGAAATGCCATTCATCTTGCAGAATGCGCAGTTCATATGCAGCATGTCAAAAGAAAAAGGAATGTTTGTCTGCAGAGCTACCTTTTTCCCCCGAATACAACGTACGGTCATTACAGCTGTTTTTGGCGCATCTTTCAGTCTAGATACAGCTAGAATGGCCGTACATTGTATTCGGGAAAAGAAGGTAGTTGCACAGTCACTCTGCACAGTTGGTCTGCTCATTCGGTCTGCAAAAGTTAGTCTGCAACTCTGCTCACTCCTTTTTTTTTTTTTTTTTTTTTTAACACTTCTTGTCTTCTACGGTATTCCAAAACACATGGAATGTTTCTCTGCAGAGTTACCTTCTTCCCCCGAATACATTGTGCAGTCACACAACTGCCGTCTTCACCCGAATAGAACGCCAGGTCCTTATCGCCACATTTGGACCGGAAGTTGTGCCAAATACAGCTAAAATAACCGGGCGACGGGCGTTCTATTCGGGTGAAGACGGTAGTCCGCACGGTTAAACCACCAGTCCCAATGGCACCTGCACTCAGTGCACTGTACCGGGCCCAAAACTATGGTCCCGACGTCCAGTAGAGGTGCGGTGGGGATGGGCTGGCACCTTCATTTTTTCCAAAGGCCTGCACTGTAGATTGTAGGCTCGACAACATGCATTTTTTAATTCGTTAGTTTAGCTTCGAATGGACTGTTTTTTTTTTAACACGTCAACATCATGCTTCCCCTTTACCAGTGGTCATAATTAATGTGCTCTATGCTGGCAGTGCATATTAAATTTTCCTTTCTGATAAGTAGATGTATCAAGGCTGCTCTTCATGAGATGGATGATCCTACATTGTCTTGCCTCAGAAAATTCATTGTAGTTCTCTTAAACCACTCGTAGTTCACGCGGACCTAAGATCTTCTCTTACCCGTATACGGGATAAGAGCATTTCACCCGAACAGGGACAGGGTGGGTCCCGGGGGAATTCGGTAGGATTTGGTTTTAGTGTTTGTTGTTTGTGGTTTGTCTGGGTTGGTTTTTGTCCAAGGCGAGTTGTCACGGGTTTTGTGGTTCCGGTATTACCACTGGAACAAACCGGTTCGCGTCGGTCCGGCAACGAAGGCTGAGGAACTAGGTTTATGTGTTTTGAAAGGACGCAGCCTGACAGGACCGTGAGATTTTTCCGGACCTATATCAACAATGATTGTGTAGTTCGCAATCCTTTTCSGGACCAGTATCGTGCAGCCTCCGCTGAAATGGTGGTAGTTTGGACGACGCTGGTAGGTTGGTGGAAGTGACGACATAGTCAAGGGAGAAGACGAGGTGGTAAAAAGCCCCCCCTGAGGACGACCGCGTGGCTGCGGTCGAAACCGGTCGGGGTAGCCATACCCACCGGAGTGTGATCTTTTCAGTTGTTGTTGATGAAACGCGTATATCGCGTCTGTTTGTACTGGACTACTTGTGTGTAAATGATTATGCTCGAGTGGACTGTGTACTTGTGCATGATGTGCCGAGTTTTCTCACTTGTCACACATTCTTATTCTCAAACAAACCTACTGTGGCTCGTGTGAACCTACTCGGATTACGATCTGCCCGAGTTCGTGTGAGCATGTTTATGTTACTTTACTCTACTGTTACGAGTCAATAGGTTACGAGACTGCTGGAGTGCTTCAGTTGAGGAGTGAAACAGCAGAGGGTACTCACACCACTACGTGGCGCGAAGAATGGCTAATCGAGGAAATTGGGATACAGGACGGGAAGGTGAGCGGGAGCGGCGTGATGTAAGATATGACGGGAGACGTGAGGAGAGGCGCGATGGCTACCATAGCGCTGGGAGGGAGTACCATCAAGAGGACGTACGTGAATCGATACGTGATCGAGGTTACGGATCAGGGGAACATCGGCGACGAGCACCACCAACCTATTTCGAATGCGGACAGGTTGGTCATTATCGCAATCAGTGTTGGAGGTTAACAGGCGAAGGAAGCTCGCGACAGGGAGAAGCGTGTTTACAACCGAGGAACGCAGCGGGCGAGGCATCGCCAGAACGAGTGAAACTGAAACGGCAGATTCAAGATTTGGGAGCATCCATTGCTTCCATGCAGGGACACATCAAAGCGGAGAACTTGAAGAAGGCCGAACAGTTGAAACAAGCCGAAGATGAACAAAGGGCGAGAGAGAAGAAAGCAGCTAAAAAGCAAGCCAAGCTCAGGAAGGCCGAGGAATTTCGCATGCAGATGAGGAAAGAGATGCGCATGGAAGCGGCCCAAGTGGCAAGAGAACTGCGAGATGTCGTTTGCGAGGATTGGCGGGCTCAGATTAAAGAGGAACTAAGACGTGTCGTGACTTCGATATTGTCGAGCGGGAAAGGAAAAGCTAAAGTACAGTTTCCACCTTCCACTGGGAAATCGGCATCAGACAGCAGCAGTGCAAGTCACATAGAATCGCTCCGACGCCATACGAGGAAACTGGCAATATCTGAGAAGCGCAAGTGAAGTTCGGAGAAGGCGGTCAGAAGCAGTCCACCGGTGACGCAACTTGCAAAACAGATGCCACACACTACGCATGTTAAACCAGTGAAGCTTGCGGCTAAACTGCAACATACAACGAAGACAGACAAGAAGAAGACGTCGCCTCCACGTTACACCCCACGTCGGGGTACACCACGAACAAAGATTGCGGCAACATTGGGCACCGTCGGGAAGGCCAAATTTATCTGCGAGAACATTCGTGTATTGGCCGAGTTCGGAGCTGATGAACTCAAGGAGATCTGCCGGAAGGAGGATGTTGAGTATGGTAATAAGACTGTAGCAGCGACAAACATAGCGGAGAAAAGAGCCGCGGAAGCTTACGATACCTCGAACCAGGAAATTGCCGAAAGAGAAAGAGAAGCGGAGGGTATCGATCAAGAGGATATCGACGAAGGTACGGAATCGGGAGAGGAAGCATGAACCGGGAGGGATATCGGCAGGTTGTGGGAACTTTGTAGAGCGCTGGTTGAGTACCGAAGAGTACTGGGTTTTCATAAGAGAATCGAGAGGTTGTATCGTTTGACTGTGATTTTGTTGACTATCTCTGGTCAGATTAAATGGTTGACGAAATGTATTGAGTCGTGGTATCGCATGTTTGAGATCTTTGGTGTAGGTTTCGTGGACGCGGGTAGTGTGGTGTATATTTTGGCCTCACCGACGTGTAAAGCTCTATATGTAGGTAAGACGTGCAAGGATGTTGACGTGCGGTGGCGCGAACATATCTCACGCTGTGACCGGCGTAGCAAAGACACGCACTTGTACCGCTGGTGGCAGTGTTTCGGAAAGGAGTCCTACGTTCTGTTATCGGTTGAGACTTGTCGGGATGAGGAGCTGATCGCATTCAAGCAACTGTACATACATCGTTGGAATCCGGCGTTGAACACAAATGGTTTGCGACGCAAGCGGAATAGACGGAACAAAAAGCAGCGCGGGAAGCGTGAGAGGCAACGTGGTCAACACGGGTTGATCAGCGAGCAGAAGGGGCGAAGCCAAATACCAGTTAAGATCCAAGTCAACGAGGGAGCGGAGAATGTGAATGTTTTCAACGCTTTGACCGAGTTGGAGAAGCGACGTACACGGAAGTTCACATTAAGATCAGCCGGAGGTAACACGTGGACAGACGGATGGAAGAAGATCTGTAGGGCTTTTGGTACGACACCTGTGAAATGGGAGGGTACAGTGAAGACTCTATCGAAGTCTAAGAAGGAATTAGAAGATGGAGGGACGTGCACGGTGCAATACCTGAGACGGTGGCATCCGAAAGGGAAACAGGACAAGCACGAACTTATCAAAATCTTACGTAATCCGGCCAAGACTGAGGTATTGAGAGGGAAGGACGCAACTGTGTTGTTTCGACTTTACCGAGGTGCCAAAGGTTTTCAGAAGAAGTCAACCAGATGCTATCTACGAAGATTGCTCTCACGAACAATCAAGGAAACCACAGGATGGATTATGGGAGCAGATGTCTGTGTAAAGATGAGATTTGACGACCGAGTGAAGCTGGGGGAAGTACGGAAACTGGCTAATGACAAGCTTATGGGATTGGAGTTACCTACCTGCATGACGAGACGCGCACGTAGCAAGTTGAAAATCGTTTGGACAAGCAATCCGGCGGTTTCTGACTTGTTACACAATCAGAAGATGTTCGCACGAGCGGATGTCTGCACCTGCACATGTGCAGGATTACCCTATCCAAGGATAGGAGATCATGTGCGGTTTCAATTACAGGAATTGGGGGATATCCATCCTATGCTGTGTAATGCTAAGAACGTGCCACGAGTGTCTTGTCCTGATATATCGATGTTACTGAAAAAGGAGATCGAGGAAGCGTTCGATAAATGGCCGAATCGAGGTGAGAAGAGAGTTCATATCCTTCGTAGTGAAGCTGAAGGTTGCATGATGAGCGGAAGTGACACTGAGACGAATTGGTTGGAGGTGGACGATGTGAGGGAGGTGAAAGAACGGATGAGTGGCCTGGTTTGTACACCTTTGGATAGGAATACGGGGGAAACCTTTGTTCTTTGCCCTTTGGTGTACCACGAAGCCATGATGACGACTTTTGTGTGTAACACTGGCTACCGGATCATGGACAAGGATGAAGCAGCCATTTTCGCTGAAATGAAGGTCGATTTGGTTGGTTTCGGTCTGAAGCGGTTTGTAAAGATGGAGAAGCAAGGAGTTATCGGCAATGCGTATGTCCAACCCAAGCACAAAGACTTAGATCGGTTCCGACCGATCTGTCCTTCGTACTGCGAACCTATAGTTAAGACATCAAGGTTGGTGGCTAAAGCACTTAATCACCTGCTTTTCGCCTTACCAGAAGCGTGGCATTTCAACATGAAGGCGGTCTCGGATATCGTACCTCGGATCAACAAGATGAACAAGAAGATTCAACAACGAAGGAGTGAAGGCTGTCATGTCTCATCGATGTCATATGACATCAAGGACATGTTCAGCAAACTGCCACACGAAAAAATTATAGAGGCAGTCGATTGGATCATCCGACACTTCATTTCGAAAGGCAAGACAGCTGTCAGAGTGAATCCACGTGGACGAGGCAGCAGTTTTGGAAGGACCACCGGAGCTGACCATTGGCGTACGATCGAGTTAGAGACACTGAGGCGGTTCGTGGAATTCGACTTGAAGCACACATATATCAAGGCAACAGGGGTGATTTTGAAGCAGTTGATCGGGATTCCTATGGGAAAGAGCACGAGCCTGCCTTTGGCGTGCATCATGTGCGCACACGCTGAGTGGAAGTTTTTACAGGGGTGGGGAAGGAAAGAGCTAACGTGTTCGGTACGCGGTTGATTGATGATGTCAGTTTGATTATCCTGACGAAGAAGGGAGATGAGGGAAGTGGAACTCTAATACGGGAGTCGTTCGAACATTGTTACCCCAGCAATCTAACCCTCAAAAGGACAGACGATAACAGTGGGAAGTGGGATTTTTTGGGATTAGAGATGCGGCAACGGAATGTTTTTCCGTATGTAGGGTGTGTGCAGATGTCCAAGAACGAACAGTCAGTGTGGACTGACGAGGGACTTGAGTTCAAAAACGGACAGAACTTCAGATCCTGGGGTAGCAAAGCACACAAGAGCGCGGCCATCGTGAGCCGTCTACATAGAATTGACAGAAACACAACGGAGAGGAACGGAGAGGAGTGAGTTACCTGACAGGGTACTCACCTTTGAGCCGGGAGTTGAGACTCATGGACTTCCCTACCGACTTCTTCTTACGTGTGCTGAAGAGATTCGGAACTGGCAGAGAGCCGACCTGGCACCACATTTGGACATGGTTGTCCAATGATGTACCGTGCATTTCGTAGTGTTAACTCGATAGGAAGTAGGATGTTTGTGTTTTTCATTTGCTGTTGCATTTTTTTTGATGAACTGATTTGGTGTGATTACAGTCTTGCTCACAAGCAAAGTACGACACAGTGGCTGTAGCAGTAACAGTGACGGATAGGGACAGGGTTGTTTCTGTGATTTCTGTAGGAGTTGTTTTTTAGGCCAGTCCGCAGGATATGGTTTTAGATTTTGAAGAAGTAACAGTGATGGATAGGAACAGGGCGTGTCCTGGGGAATACTGAAGGAAAAGTTTCTTAGTTCTTGTTTTCGTCGTCTAGTTTGTTTTGTTTTTTGTCCCAGACGTATTGTATGTGTTTCTGATTCCGGCATCTCGTTGTTTAGTGTGAACAGGGACAGGGTGGGTCCCGGGGGAATTCGGTAGGATTGGGTTTTAGTGTTTGTTGTTTGTGGTTTGTCTGGGTTGGTTTTTGTCCAAGACGGGCTGTCACTGGTTTTGTGGTTCCGGTATTACCACTGGAACAAACCGGTTCGTGTCGGTCCGGCAACGGAGGCCGAGGAACTAGGTTTATCTGTTTTGAAAGGACGCAGCCTGACAGGACCCTGAGATTTTTCCGTACCTATATCAGCAATGATTGTGTAGTTCGCAATCCTTTTCGGGACCAGTATCGTGCAGCCTCCGCTGAAATGGTGGTAGTTTGGACGACGCTGGTAGGTTGGTGGAAGTGACGACATAGTCAAGGGAGAAGACGAGGTGGTAAAAAGCCCCCTGAGGACGACCGCGTGGCTGCGGTCGAAACCGGTCGGGGAGCCATACCCACCGGAGTGTGATCTTTTCAATTGTTGTTGATGAAACGCGTATATCGCGTCTGTTTGTACTGGACTACTTGTGTGTAAATGATTACGCTCGAGTGGACTGTGTACTTGTGCATGATGTGCTGAGTTTTCTCACTTGTCACGCACTCTTATTCTCAAACAAAATCCGTTAAAATTGGAACAATACAGAGAAGATTAGCATGAAAAAACAAAACAAAACAAAACCAAAAAAAAAAAAAAAGCAGCATTTCAATTCGGGCATGGGCCGGTGGTGAAAGTGGCAGGCCACTTTGAAAAAGCCGCAGTTGCAGGCTTGCGAGCCTTGGAGGTAGCTTCGTCAACTTCGGCCTCGTGTGAACTGGCGGTTTAAACTATCTATCACCCAGGAAGCATTGTTTAAATTTGTTTTAGTTTCCAAAAATAAAAATAAAAATAATTAAGGACTATGATCTTGACCTATTTCTCTTCCTTGACCAGACCCCCAGCGCAGATTGTGCAGACTGATGCACGTGCCGCAGCAGTGCCTGACCTGGATCCTGCAACTTGTCAGAGGGTTGCTCTGGTCTGATGTTAGTCTGCAGCCTGTCATGCTGCACTCTAGCCTGAGTTTGTCGATTGTCGCACTGCTGTAGTCTGCAGTGTGCTGCTGCGTAATGGTACAAAAAGATTCACACCAACTGGCCTAGCTTAGTCGGTACACCCCCCCTGGACTGAATTGTTGATGAAATACAGACCAGGTGGTGAGTTCGAACTCCACTGGAAGCAGTTGAGTGGCATATTATAATTCTGAGTTACCTACCGTCGTCACCCGAATAGAACGCCCGGTCATTATCGCTGCATCTGGACCGACAGTTGCGCCAAATACAGCTATAATGATCGGGCGTTCTATGCGGGTGAAGACGGTAGGGCCGGTCAGTTCAATGATTACATCTCAAGGCCGTCACCCTTTAAAATAACAAGCGGCCAGAAACTTTGCGCGGCCGGGACATTGCCACGGGGCCTGCAGGGAAAGGTCATTTTCCCGACTGTGGCAGCCGGGCCTCGCGGGAGCGTCACGTGAGATCCAGCTTACACTTTAGTAAGAGTATATATAGGAAAGAAAAAAAAAGAAAAAAGAAAAAAAAAAGAGACTTCACTGCAATCTGCAGCCTGTCACACTGTCCTGAGTCTGTCACACTGCTGCAGTCTACGGAATGTAGGAGTACTGCAGTCTGCACCTCTGCCACAGTTTCCTGCCCTCTGCAGCCTGCCATACAGTGTTGCAGTCTGCAGTGAGTTAGAACTTAGACGTCAGTGCACTCCATGGCAGAAACAGGAACAGAAAAAAAATCCAAGCTTTTTTTTTCTTCTCTACGTCGAGTTGGATATCCCAACGAAAAAAACAAAAAAAAGACTAATTCAATCATGCCAGGGGCTACACCTTTTATTCTCTCTCTCTTTTCTTTTTTCTTGTTCTCTCTCTTAAACAGGGAGAAGAATGCATGTGCATGCGCATGCGCATGCCTGTGCTGTCACTCTGAATCACCGATGTTCTCCTTCTCTTTCAAACAGTGAGAAGAGTGCCCCAGTTTCCAGCAGGTGCTTCTCCCCACCAATAGACTGGAGCCATCACAACTGGGGTGAATCTACTCTGGCAGCGTGCTCGCACATCACCTGCCAGAGTAGAGAAGCCCCCCTGAAGCATTTTTTCCCTATTAAAAAAAAAAAAGAACAGTGTTTAAAGTTGAAACACATGCATGTGAGTGCACATACCTGGTCTAGAATTCCTAGTTATCTTTTCTTAAAAGACCAGTACTTGCGATCCACTTTTGCCCGGCACTCCAAACGCCGTGTGTGCTAGAAAAGCACAAACGGGTGCGGGCCTTGTTTCGGCTGGCTCTACCAGCCATTTTGCCCCCGGCTGCCAGGCGACAAAAGCTGTGGCAGCATGCATGGCACGTCGTCTGGGAATCGTACTGGTGGTTAAATTATGTTTTGTTCAACGTTTCAAACGTGTCTATGAAGACGTTGGGTTTGCATTGCCTTTCTTTTCCCTATTCAAAAAGACAAAAAGAGCCACGGCCCAGAAACTGAACCACAGCCCTAAGACCGCCCAAAATGAGGGGCGTGTGGGCCGGTGTGGCTTTAGGGCCCAAAGATCAAGGCTGGTCCTCCCCCTCCCCCCCCCAACTGGACCCGGCAAGTCAAACATTGCTTTCTCAGTTGAAAACAAAGTGGCGAACAGGTGCGTAACGTGTGGGAATCCTTTTTTTTTTAATGTGGAAAGCCCGACCAGCGTCACTAGGGGGGGGGATACGAGCAGCCTCCACGTGGGAATCTACCAAACTGTTTGGGAAGAATCCCCAAACAGTCTATGGCCAGCCTGCCGGCTCTGACACGCTTTTCTGCACTCCTCTGCAGTCTACAGGCTGCAGCCTTGACACAGTACACAGTATGCTGCACTCTATAACCGATCACGCTTTGCTGCAATCTGCTGTATTCGACATCCTGCAGCCTCTGACAGACTTCGCTGCAGTCCACCACCTGAAGCCTAATCCGCGTTGCTGCAGTCCGGCAACCTGCCGCATCCTCTGCCGCATATCTGGTGGTCATGCCGCTTGCTGCACCCTGTCACACTCTTCTGCAGCCTGTCTGCATCAGTCTTTGAGGGAACGACCATATTGTGTCTTGGACGGAGTGGACTGCAAAGTCAACCGGGGGTCTCTGTTGTTGGCTCTGTTTGTCTGCATAGTAGGTGTTTCTTATTTCTTTTTTTTCCACTTCAGAATCTTTTTTTTTTTTTTTTTTAAGAAGATGGCAACGGCCTAGAGATTTTTTTTTTCTTTTTTCTTTTTAAGAAAAAAAAAAACTACACTATATTAGTATATAGTACAAGTGGACCCGCCGCAGCTACGCTGCGGTGAAGGTTGATGACGAAAACATTTTGCGAAAAACCCCAGCCATCAGCTGGACCCCATCTTTGCAATGTACCCGTACCGACTTCGCCCGTCCCGACTTCGATCCCGAATCCCTCCTATCCCGATCCCGTTCCCTCCTCCCTCCCCCCTCTCTCTCTCTCTCTCTCTCTCTCTCTCTCTC